CATAGCACCAATCTCAGAACAACTGATCAAAAAGGTTCTGTTGGTTCAACTACGTGGAAAGAAGACCCAGCAGTATGCTGGAAATGTGATTCAAGCACGTGGGAAGAAAAGAGAGAGAAGATCAAAGAAAATGTGGCGCCATGCCTCAAAGAACGATTTTAAACTACGCGAAATAATCAAAAATTTGATGAGAGTCTGAAGAATGTTGAGGTAATTGACTCGATGAGAGGATCCATGACAGATGAAAGATGGTAGTAAAAAGAAAACTACAAAATAATTCGTTTAAGTAGTAGACTAACCGAAGAGACGTCTCTGCTTTTGAAATAGTTAAAGCGCACTGTTGCTAAGTGAACTAGCCAACCGAAGCTGATACAGAAAACGGCGTAGAAAATCAAGAGGGCAACGGATCGTCTTACATCTTACGATACACAATTTTTATTGCACCACTTTTCTCCAGTTAACCTGCTGAAAATGAAAGCAGGGCTGATTTTTTCAAGATAGTGGCTATATTAACTACTTCTTTTCTTTAAAGGTACTGGTAAAATAAATTAGGAGAGGTGAAAATATCGACAGAGGAATGGGGAAATTCGAGTTACTTAAAACCACGCTCTTTACAGATATGTCCCTACGTCGGAAGTAAACATAACATGCCATACGTCATAGTGGCCAGCTGGCTGCAAACGTTATCTTTAAATTATACGGTTTTCATGACTAATTGCGACAGAGCCGTTCCATCAACCTAATCAAGAAAAGGTGTCTCAAAAATCGTTCGTAACAGAGGGGAAAGACACTTCGAACCATTTCGCATTTGTAAGCACGATAAAGAGAGCACGATATATGGATAAAGAAAACCGTAATGCAAACTTTGTGTTTAATAACCAGTTATAACCAGTCACTTAAAATGTTAAAAGATTTCATGTCATATGACGATTTTGAGTAAATTTGGGTACGGATTTTATAAAAGCGACATGCACTATTTGCGGGTGTTAAATGCTAAAACCGCACCTGAGAGAATAGCCTTTCGTCCGTCCTGCGGCATAAGTCAGACAACGAACACACTGTTACCACTTCCATACTTTGAACGACAGCGTTCGAAAACC